CCACATCTTTTTCCCACAGAGTGGCTGGTGGGTTCAAACCACAGACCTTTTGGTTAGCAGCCAAGTGTTTAACTACTGTGCCATCAGTGCTCCCACATTGGTCTACATATGGGCTTTAAAAGATGATTAAATGTTCAGCTATGTTAAAAATAATCAAAACTTACCAAAATTTAAACATAAAGTTTATACTGAGCAGTTACTCTACATGCATATAGGGAAACCATTTTGATCTCAGAAAAAGCAAATGGCTGGAAGAAGGTAGGTACAACAGAGCTTATAAGGAGAAGAGGAGGGAGAAATATAGAAGAGCAACCATTGGATAATCTTAACATGATTGATTGAACCGTGCCTTCCCCCTTTACTGAAATTAACTGATATCAGGTTACTCCTTCCTGGTGGTGCAGTGGCTAAGAGCTCAGGCTGCTAGCCAAACTGTTGGCAGTTCAAATCCATCAGCTACTCCTCGGCAAACCCAATGGGGGCAATTCTACTCTGTCCTGTAGGGTCTCTATAAGAATTGACTCGACAGCAAGGGGTTTGGTTTTTTCTGCCTGACTGCTAATAATTAATTTGGCCATCTACCCACCTGCAGCCGTGAGACTTTTTGAGATTTAAACTAGGAGGTAATGGTTTGATGACTATCCTTTTCTAGCACAATGAGACAAATCTACATTTCTGTAGAGCAGTTTCTGGCAGGTTTTTGCAGTTGGGTCAGGCCCTTTATGGTTAATATTTGGTTTCTTGGATAAGAAAAACCGTAAAATCAAAGTAAGATGTCTGTTATTAATTTTCCTGTTCAACAGCTACTTTCTCCTTACCCCTCTCTACGATAGTGTTCCTTCTACAGCTACTCCACAAGGGATAATTTTTTTTCTTTTTTCTTTCTAAGACAATCTCATCAGTTTCTGGATTTTAGTTTTTTTAAATATCTTTAGCTCCTCAGCTCTCTGATAGTTTTTTTTTTAACTATAATTTTGTAGCTTATCTACCTTGTTATTGTTAGAGTGGGAGAAAATGTGTTTCTGTTTTCGCAAATTTTTACATCCAAATCAGAAGCAGATATCCCACCATATCCATTTGTATCCTTATTGTTTTCTTTCTCAATTTGCAGTATAGTCGTAAGTCACTTAATGTCCAAGATACGTTCTGCGAAATAGGACATTATGTGATTTGGATGTCGTGTGAACACCATATTATATACTTAGCAAAGCTATGTGAGATACTGTAGTGTACTGTACCATAGTATGCCTGGCAGCACAATCGCTTTGTATACAAAAGACATGAGATATACATGTTGCATTCACTATGTCCATTTATGTCTGCTAAGTCCCGTTCTCCAAGTGGAATTTCTGAACTCTCTTACATCCTCATGGGACCACGGACGTCTTTGTGGTCGAAAGCTTCCTGATGGATGTTTTGCTGCTGGTGACTGTAGTTCTTCTGTTTCCTCTGTCAAAGACCACAGCTCCTATCACGCAGTCCTCCTACAACGAAAATTCTTGCCTGGATCCTCTAACTGCTCCCTCAAATTGCCCCTTTAGACTTAGAGGTAATTATAATTTCCTCCTCTAGCTAGTTCTGAGCTGCTTCACCATCCTTTGATGATTTCCTTTAAACTTATCCGTAAAGCCCCAACCCCGTTGCCATCGAGTCGATTCTGACTCACAGCGACTCGATAGGACATAGAGTAGAACTGCACCATAGAGTTTCCAGGGAGCACCTGGTGGATTTGAACTGCCAACCTTTTGGTTAGCAGCTGTAGCACTTAACCACTAAGCCACCAGGGTTTCCAAATTTGTCCATGCTTTTGAAAACAGTTCCTGCATTAAACTCTTCTCAAGCATGCTATTTGAATGAGCTGTCTTCTTGCTAAGACCCTGATTGATAGGTGGTACTTTTCTAAGAAAAAGAAAGAGATTCAACCAACAGGGAGATAGATAGTGGAGAACACTAAGAAAAAAGCAGAGAGTTGCTGTCGTTGGTTGAATAATGACTGAAATGGTGGCAATGTGGGTGACATCCAGGAATAGAAATAGGATTAACATATCTCCCTGCTAATATCTTTTGTCTAATAACTTCTCTTGCTTTTAAAATGGAAAGCTGAACACCAAACTATTGTTTGGATTTGAGGGTCATTTTCCAGATAAATTTTTTGTAACACTTCTGGTTGTATATAAAAGGTTAATATGGTATACAAAAGCTAAAGAATCAATAGGGCCTTGCTGGTGTAGTTGGGTTGGGAGAGATAAGGAGAGGGAGGAAAAGGTAGCAATGAATTCCAAGAAGACAAATTATTTTAATCAGCTGCAATGCTTTATTTAACACATAGCTAACATCTGTAATCAACATTTATTCAATACGAACCCCTAGGGTTCACATAAGTATTGTAACATGTTTTGTTTTTCAGTAGGAGGTACTATGAAATAACCAAATGTTTGTTGGCTTAGCTTAGTGCCTGTCCCACAGTAGGTACTCAAAAATGTCAGATCTGCCAATACTAGCTGACATTTATTGAGCCCTTATCCTGTGTCAGGCACCATGCAAAGTGCTCAATATACTATTATTATCCCAATTTATAGGTGAGGAATCTGAGTACAGAAAATGCATTTCTTTTAATATTTTATTGTGATTTTAGAGAAAATTTACACAGCAAATTAGGTTCTCATTTAACACTTTCTACACATATTATTCAATAACATTGGTTACACTTTTCACAGTGTATCGGCATTCTCTATTTCCCTTCTGGTTGTTCTGTTTCCATTAATCTAGCTTCCATGCACCCCTTACCTTCTTCTCAGCTTTGGTCTAGGGTAAACGTTGACCGTTAGGTCTCATTTAGACGATTGTTCAGAGTAGCACAGTACTCACAGGTGATATTATTTATTTTATGAGCCACTCTGTTTTTTGGCAGGTAAGTGACCTCCGGGAGTGCTTTGAGTTCCAAGTTTAGAGACTATCCCAGGGCAATAGTCTCAGGGTTTCCTCTAGTCTCTACCAGTCCAGTAAGTTGGCCTTTTTAAGGAATTTGAGTTTTGTTCTACATTTTTTCCCCCTTTCTGTCCAGGACCACCTGTTGTGTCCCAGGTCTGAACCATCAGTAGTGTTAGCTGGGCACCATCTAGTTCTTCTGGTCTCAAGGTAGGTGAGGCTGTGGTTCATGTACACCGTTAGTCCAGTAGACTGGTTTCTTCTTTGAGTCTTTGGTTTCCTTCTTTCTCTTTTGCTCCAGACTTCTAGAGACCAATATATGTATCTTAGATGGCTGCTTGCAAGCTTTTAAGACCCCAGATGCTACTTACCAAACTAGGATATAGAACATAATCTTTATCATCTATGTTATGCCAAGAAGCTGGACTATATGAAGAAGAATATGGCATCACGATTAGAGGAAGACTCATTAACAACCTGCGTTGTGCAGACGACACAACCTTCCTTGCTGAAAGTGAAGAGGACTTGAAGCACTTACTGATGAAGAAAAAAGACCACAGCCTTCAGTATGGATTACACCTCAACATAAAGAAAACAAAAAATCCTCACAACTGGACCAATAAGCAACATCATGATACACAGAGAAAAGACTGAAGTTGTCAAGGATTTCATTTTACTTGGATCCACAAAAAACACCCACGGAAGCAGCAGTCAGGAAATCAAAAGACGCATTGCAATGGGCAAGTCTGCTGCAAGAGACCTCTTTAAAGCAATGAAAGGCAGAGATGTCACCTTGAAGATTAAGGTGCACCTGACCCAAGCCATGGTATTTTCAATCACACCACACATGTGAAAGCTGGACAATGAATAAGGAAGACTGAAGAAGAATTGACGTCTTTGAATTGTGGTGTTGATGAAGAATATTGAATATACCATGGACCGCCATAAGAATGAACAGGTCTGTCTTGGAAGAAGTACAACCAGAATGCTCCTTAGAAGCAAGGATGGCGAGACTACATCTTACATACTTTGGACATGTTGTCAGCAGGGATCAGTCCCTGCAGAAGGACATCATGCTTGGTAAAATACAGAGTCAGTGAAAAAGAGGAAGAGCCTCAATGAGATGGATTGACATAGTGGCTCCAACAATGGGCTCAAGCATAACAACGATTGTGAAGATGACACCGGAGCGGGCAGTGTTTCATTCTGTGGTACACAGGGTCGCTATGAGTCGGAACCAACTGAGGGCACCTAACAACAACAACAACATGCCAGTTGACAAGATGTATTGCTATCGTAGATACTTAATAAAGTGATCATGAATTAACAGAGGTGAAGGCAGTGTCATTTAAACATTTTCACAGTTCTTGCTTTTGGAAAAAAAATAAGCTTATTGAAATTCAGGACTGGAAGACCGCCCCCCCCCAAAAAAAAAAAACTGTCCAGATTTTCTTTTGCATGCATATATTTATAAAGTTTATTAGTATTTCAAGATTCCTGTAGAATAAGTCTTTCTAACCTGACAAGACTGTCAACTGTAGTACCTGTTTTCTGAGATGAGCAGATTTTATTCTCTCCCTTTATTCTCTCCTTTCATTTTTCTGTACTTCTCTTTTAAATCTTTCACTTTCTTCTCTCCTTCCTTCACTCATTCATTCAAACAAGGCCAGGAGCTTAATTTTAAAACGTCATTCAAAATGGTGCCACGTCATCTGCCGGGGCCAAGAACCGTGAGGTGTTGTCACATTTCTCTCTGCCAGCGTGGATCTACGGGGACCCCGCCCTCTCCTCTTCACCTGCTCCCGGCTAGACCGCGCCGAGGGCGCTGTCACAAGCTCAGGCCTCCGGTCCCCTCCCCCTAGCCCCGAGACCACCCCGCCCCTCCCGGATCCCGGCTGGCAGAGCGCAATTATTTGCATATTCCTACCTTTGTTCCCTGCCGTCCGCCAATCAGCGCTTGGGACGAGACTGGAAGGGAGGGGGGACTGGGCGGGGCTCGGGCTCGAGCTCCGGCTCCGGATCTGGCTGCGGCTGCCGGAGGTTTCACAGCAGGTCGGAGCCGCCGCGGGCGCGCCGCGCACTGCAGCTTCAGCCACAGCGGCCAGCACCGCGCGCGCACTGCTGCCTCGCCTGGGCCAGGCCCCCAAAACAAAGACAAAGCGGCTGCCTGGTAGGCTCTACAGAAGCTGAATTTACCTGCAGCTGCCGGGAACCACAGGCTTCAAGATGGTTTGCGGGGGCTTCGCGTGTTCCAAGAACTGCCTGTGCGCTCTCAACCTGGTCTACACCGTGAGTATCCAGAGCCCGCCCTCTCCCTGCCTAGAGGCTTTGCACCTGTTCGGAAGCTCCTGGCCTTGCTTGCGTGGCCAGCGACTCACTGGCTTCACCCCGGGCCCCTCTCCTGTCTTCTCACGCTCTGCGCGCCCCCAGCCTCTCCCTCCGTCCCCTCTGGGACTGGGAGCCGGCGCTTGTCGCAGTCTCTTCCTTTCCGTCATTGAAAAGCGGCCGTCTTTTTGGCTTGCTCGCCGCGTCTCTGCCACATTGCTCCGCCCCGCCCCCTCACCCACCGCCTTGTTTTTCAGTCTTTTGACTCTTTCATCCCGGCCCCTTCTGCTGCTCGCTCCTCGCTTCCAGACCCTTCTGGGGCTGGTTTGGCGGAAGAGCTGCCTCGGGTTTGAGGGCAGTTTTGCGGCATAGCGTGATCTGAAATCGGCAAGGCGGCATATGGATCGTGCGCGTCTGGGTTAGCTCTACGTGCTCTCGTGATTTTAATTGAGGCCATCCAGTAGTTTCACAGGATATCCGCTGCTTCCTTAGTTTGTTTTGTGCTTACATAAAGGGATATTATATTTTTGGTTTTGCCAGTTCTGCTCATACTTGATGGTTTCTCTGTGTGTCTTCCCCCTTAACAGTATCTTAACTCTTTGAAACTAAGTCGTTTCTTCCCCTCCTAGCCAGCTTGCCCCTTTTAATTTTAATACCACAGGCTGTTTGTGATTTTTAAGGCGCAGTTCTGGGTGAACAGGAGGGTGGGGAGGGCTGGTTGACGTTCGTTGATTGTCTTTCACGTCCCAGATTTTACATACATGATTTGAGTTTGTCATTCTGACAGCCTTCTGAGGAAAGGGACATGGTCTAAATTTTATATATAAGGTAACAGATCAAAAATGGTTTTTAATAAGTTTAAATAGCTGGTAGCTGGCGAGTCAGGAGTGGAACCCAGGCTTTGGAATCTAGGTCTTTCCACAGGCTGCCTCTACAGGTCGGAAGAAACTTCCTCCCTGGTCATCATCCCTCCATCGCTTGCTCCCTTATATAAATACACCTGGCCCTTTGCAGCACCCACCCTGAAAACAAACCCAGCTTCCCTGCATTAGCAGAGAGCTAGGCCATCTGTGCAAGCTTAGATTACATCTCTTGTGGTCAGCAGGAGAGAGAGGCTGGGTCATTTTACCATCACTGTTCCTTTGTATGTGAACCTGCTTGCAAAGCTTTGACGGCAAGGCAGAAACTGGAATAGAGCACGCTTTTCCAGCCAGTTAGTAGGAATCTGATCAACATGGTCACTAATGGTAGACTTGGGAAAAAATTTTTAGAACACCTGGTAATACCGCTCCTTGTAATTGGAGATCTCCATCAAGTTTCACATTAAAATCCACCTTTGTCTCGCTTGAGGCATGCTTTATTAATAAATGCTGACCAGTTCTCCAGGTATTTTATTAGCATGAATGGCCTGATTAGAACTTCACATTGCCCATTTTGTGCCTTGATTTCTGGTTTTTCCCGTCAATGATTTAGTCATCCCTTCACCAGACGTTTAATCTTACAGTGTCCGTTTACACACAGTAGAGTGTTCTGCTTTGTATCCTTACTTAACTAAAATGTCTACATAGATTAATGTGCAATATATATTTTTTAAAGGCAAGCTGTTTTTTAAATCTAGTTCTGTTGCTTTCAAGACATACCATTTCTAGTTGTATTTACTGTTTCAGGAAAGCAAGGAGAAGGAAAGATGATTCTGTTGGGACATGTTACGGCTGTTTAATAATCTATTCTAAATTTTGACCTTCAAAGTGTGTTCTGTTGATTTTAATAGCTATGCAGTAAAACTTAATTAATTTGAGATTCATGGGACTATAAAAATGGTTAGCCCTTTTAAATCTTAGACCTTTTAGACACCGCCCTAAAATGAATTAATGACTACTTGCTTCTTATACATTGTGAATAGGCTTAAATAGGAATAGGCTCAGCAGTTTAAATTGGAGGCAAATGATAGATAAAAGTTGGATCAGGTCTTAAATAGATGCTGAAAAATTACCATGGCTATTACTTACTTCGATTCTGTATCTTCCCTGGTCACTTCTGCATTTTAAGGTGGGAATTGTGAGGAGGTGGTTACAGGCAGAGTGGAGGTTCAGGACTTAGGTGACATTTCATTTCTTTTTAAAGTATGAACAGGAGAATTCTTTGTAGATATCACTCCCACCCTGGTCACTGCCTCTAAAATGTGCTCAAAGCTGAAGGATTAGGCCTGAGGTCATTTCTAAAAGTTTAAGTGAAACAAGAATTGCATATGGGAGCTGCAGGTGTAAGGCCATGACTTGCCTTGTGTTAAAGTATTTTCCTGAGAAATTTAGGCTTTTACCAGCTCAATTGTTGAGAGTCAGGTGACTTGCTAATGAGCCTGAGATTAGCGCTGGATTCATGATCTGTCCAGAAAGTGTGTCCTGAAAGCAGGTTGGAAGGAACATCACCAAACTTGTCATGGGATTATCACTAGGCCAGAGGTTAACAGTTGATTTATTTGTTATTGTTTTATGGTTTGACTATTTTAATTCACAGGAACTCTAGAACTGAACAGTCGTAAGTTAGTGTAGTGTATACAAACAATTGTAAATATGGGAGGGAAGGGGGAAATGACAGTTGCTTTATCCATCTTCATAGTACTGTAAGAGAGAGAATGACTTGCGCCAGAACTTCCTACATTTGAAGACACTTTTATTTATTGTGCAAGGCAATATACATGGTCCTGAGAATATAGCAGTGAACCAAACAGGGCTTTACAATCAATATGCCTTTATGAAGGCTTTTTAAAACAAATTTTTATTTACTACCTTGTCTGCATATCTCATGAGTTTCATTTAGCCAATAAGCGTTTGCCTACTGTGTGCACTCTACTGAGAACTGTAGGGCATAATGAACACATGCAAAGCCAAATGCATACCTTGTGAAGACAGCATCTACTTGGGAGACGAGGTGGGAAAGTTAAATGCTATATAAGGAAAGGACTGACTGCAAATGCTATAAAAGTTTAGGACTAGGGGAGCTATTTGTGGGTTACAGAAATTGAGGGAAGGAAGGAGGAGTAGTTGAACTGAGGAAATGTAGGAATAACGTGGGTCTTTTTAATACCAGTTAAGATATAAATACAAATTAAAGCTATTTTGGGAAAGTGGTGTAGGTTATTTTTAATAGTTTATTTTATAATGAATATTTTGAAAATATATTGACAAATAGTGAAAAGCTTAAAAAAATTTACTCAGTGATTTGTGAGGAATTTTAGGAAATATGAAATAAATATGGTATTAAAATGTGTAACATTCTTAAAGCTCTATGTCTCCTTGTGCCTTTTTACCAGAGAGGAAAGCTCTATTTTTTTTTTTTAAGAGGAAATTAGCTTTATTAAACAGAACCAAACTGGGGGAAAAAAAAATCAAAAATATATTTACCAGAACTCTTATGAGTTACACTGATTTGTATCATAGTAATAAATGTATATGATACATGTAGTAAATAAATAAATAAATATACATCAGTATTCGTATATATGAATGGTTTTAATGAAGAATATGTGAAGCAGAAAATAAATTGTAGTCTTAAAATTAGGAGGAAATTTGAGAAGTTGCAGTTTTGTTTCTTTTTCAATGTGCATTCTTATTTCTAAAATCTTTCTAAGTTTTTTTTTTGCAGTTTTTTCCTATACCTTTGGTTTTTTGAGAAAAATTCCTATGCAGCATCAAAAATTATACTGATTTGCATTGATTCATTGATTTACATTTTAACATCTCTGAAGTAGGGATGTATCTTATAATAGAAAAATATGACACATCTATCAGATTAAAGGAGCACTGGTGGTTAAGCGTTCGGCTGCCAAACAAAAGGTCGGCAGTTTGAATCCACCAGCTGCTGCTTGGAAACCCTTTGGGGCAGTTCTCCTCTGTCCTGTAGGGTCACTGTGAGTAGGAATCAACTCATGGCAGTGGGTTTGGTTTTTAGTTTAGATGAGATTAAAACAAAAACTTTGTCCATAGAATTTATGGAGAGAAAAAACACTGGATTCAGGAAGAAAACAACTTTGAGTGTCAACTCTGCTTTGTTGTTGGTTACCATTAAGTCAGTTTGGATTCATGACAACCCCATAAGTAGAACTACTCCAAAAGGTTCTCAAGGCTGTGACCTTTCGGAAGCGGATCACTGGGCCTGTCTTCCCAGGCACCCCTGGATGGATTTGAACCGCCAACCTTTTAAATAGTAGTTCAGTGCTTAAGTGTTTGTGCCACCCAGGAACTTGAAATTTAACTTTGGGCAAACTCCTTACATTATTTGAGCTTCAGAGTCTTCATTTATAAATCGGTGATAATATTTTCCATTTTTTTCCTCATGGGGATGTAGTGAGGATGAAATGAGAAATGTGTATAAATACTTTGTATGCAGTACAGAAAAAAACTGTTATAGCCTCAAGTGGAAAAAGTTAAAATTTAAACTTCTGAACTACAAAACTACATGTTATAATGATAAAAGTTTTCAACCTACTTCATTTCTAACACAGGCTGATCAAGTCAAGCAGGCCTTAGGAGTCCATACCTTCAAAAAAGAAATTCTAATTGTTAAGGTTGTAAGAAAAAATGAAGCACAATAATTATAAATTTGGAATTATTTACCTGTATTTTTTTTTTTTTAAGTCCTAACCTGGTCATTAAAGTGCTGGAAAACTATAAATTTTTTTTCAGTCTCAACTCCAAAATAAATGAAAAACTCTAGGACTTCAGTCAAAGAAAAATCTGCTTAACTGTAATTGCTTTCAAATTATTGCATTTGCCTTTTTTCAAAACTCTGATCATGATTTTTCAAATTATTCAGATTTAATATTTGAATATGTGGTTAGGTTGGGGGCATCTCTGTGACCTTGTTCAAACTACTTCAGACTACTCAGTGAATTTAAAATATTTAAGTGGTTGCTGAATATTGAATTACAAAAACGATTCACTATTTACGGAACTTGGAATTTT